TTTTTTTTTTTTTTTTTTTTTTTTCAAAAATTTATAGTTGGAAAAGGTTCAATTCAGGTCTCCCATCAATTTCATCTTCTTGAATTGTGAAAATTACTTTGACCATCTTTAGGCAATGTTATCTAGTTTATGGCTGTGTGGGCTGTGATGTCAAAATCTTTCTGTAATGTTTATTTTTTATTTTTATTTTTATTATATATACGGATTGGAGAGCCTTTATTGTAGCTGCTTGGTCCTCTTGTTCCTTTCAATTTCTTAACGAAAAGTGCTTGTTTCTTTTGGAAGAGCGAGGGCAAACTTTTTATTTATCGCTTAGTTTAGTGTTGAATTTCAAACTTGTAACTTAACTGAACCTTTCCTATTTGGATTATAGTTTAGAATTGCTCAACCTGATTTTCTCTCGGTTGAGCCCTGAGGTATGTTTTGTCTGTGGTATAAATAGCTAATTAGACAACGTGGTTCTATAGTGATAGTAGGCACGTTAGGTTCTAATTTGTTTAATTCATGAAAGAGCCGGAGTGATTATATTTATATTTTTATTTATTTTCTAATTTTATAAGAAACCCAGAAGTATATTAAGCTAAGTATGACTTGTTATCTGCACATTAATTTGTTCCAGGTCCAGTTATATCCAAATTTATCACTGCATTTCGTGAACTGGCTACCTACAAAGAACAACTGCGTTCCCAGGTTATTTCTAGATCCTCTTTATGGGATGTTTAAAAAGTTCTTATTTTTATTTATCTTCTTCATTTTATTTTATTTTATTTATTTATTATTTTTTATAGTAATGGGGTATGAGAGTTTAAGCCTTAAGGTTGATTACTTTTTGGCGTGTGAAATAAGGGCAAAGAAATGCAACTGTATTTGATTGACCTTAGCATTGAAGACAAGCGCTGCTTATATGGATTTTACTTTGTAATCTTTCTTGTTCATTTTTTTGCAGGTAGAACATGTATTATCGGATCGGTTGATGCAGTTCCTGAACGAAGATTTACAAGGAGTAAGGGTAAGTTCTATGAAAAGTTGAGAACTTGTCTCATTATCTTAGTCATCTTTTTGTGAGATAATGAGTTTATAAACTAAAGGTAAAATGTGATGGCTGGAGGTATTAGACAATGAGAGCTTCTCTTTTATCCTTTTTATCTTTCTTGTTGGGAGGAGGTAGTTGCTCCTCGTCATCTAGTTTTTTTTTTTTTTTTTTTTTTTTTTTTTTTTTTTTTTTTTTTTTTTTTTTTTTTTTTTTTT